CATCAGTTCCCAATTTCAGGTGTCCGTGAAACTGTACATGGTTGAAATCTTGTCAACCACTGCAAATTACAAGCACGATAATTATTTTCTTGACAGTGTCAGTCAAAAATCAAGATTATTTACTTTTGATATGGCTCATAATATAACACTGTATGTCATAACAAACTGCATATATAGTCAAATATAGTTATAAAATCTAATAAAGATTTTATTACAAGTATTTATGAATTACATGTTTATATAATTGTGGTATTTTCACTTGCGAATGACTAGAACTATTTTTTTGTCAAGAAACGAGCAGTTGCTTGGACATTTCGCTTTGACTTGCGAGCAAAAATTTGAGATAGGAACACTAGATGGGAGCAGTGAATTCAAGTCAATGCAGAAAGTCAAAAACTCAAAACGTCAAAAAAATACCAACCTCTGTTTTGCTACTTGCAGTTTAAATTTGTTGTCCAACCAAACATAAAATAAACTGGATTACTGTATTTAAAACAACCATATAACTTTGCCTACAGAAAGTCTTCTACCTTCGTGCTAACACACAATGCAAAATGGCACACACTGCTGACAAGACCAGCATCATAAGTTGTGGTAATTATAACCCTTTAATCAACAGATATTCGAACAAAAACGGTGCAGCCACACATAGACAGACAGTATCTGCATCCTTGCATGCATGTTTCCCCACCGCTTGTCCTCATGTAATTTTTTTGAATTGTCAGTGAAAAACAACGAACATTATTACTGCAGATGATCGATTCACTTAGTTGTGAAATTCTTCATGTGTTTGCATGTCCATATTATTCTGCACCTTGGTGGCCAAGGTGCACACACCGAAAGAGCACAACAGTGCTGGAACGGATTCATGGCATTACCGTTCATTTCAATTAGGAAATCTATGTATCTTTTTATTAGGACTGAACGATTTTGAAAAATAACGGAATTGAGTTTTTAATAAATAAATAAATAAAGCTTTCGGACACAACGATGTCGTCCTGGCCCAAAATTGCAGTCTCTGCGATGTGAAAATTGAATTCTACTACAATACGATTGTGATGAATTGTTCAGCCTTACTATCTATCGTTCAATTGTTGAAGTGCGCCGAGTGATGTCGTCTGCCAGTCGAGGTCACTTTACATGAAAGAATATGATATTGAGAGATGTCAATATTGTCACATTCTCACTCTGTGTTCATTTTGAAGGTAGGACAAGAAGTAATGAAAATTAATACTGAATGTCTGTTACATACTTCATATTTTTGGCAAAACAATCAACACTCTGCCAAGATTCTGACACTCATACCCACACACACCCACGTTCCACTGATTCAGGAAGCAGGTCAAAATTTTCCAACCAAATCAAAGAGGCCCTACGTGTACGTGCAGCAACAGTTGAGTGACTTCCTTTGCAAAAGGGCCAAATTCCACATGGTCCATGACCATTAACGTCATCCCACCCAGACTGGCCCAGGGCCCCCTCCCACGTCCCACCCAAACTCTGTGCGCAGTTATTGGGGAAAGCCTCGACTTCACGAGCAGCCGTTTGGTCTTCTCCCCTGGCAGGAGAGCTCGGAAGAGGTTGTAGTCTTCCTAATGCTGTCAACATATCCTCATCGCTCACTTTTACAGCGTCGTTTACGCCAGAGGCGCATGAGAGCAAATGAACTGATCCCAAACACAAACTGGGATCCAAACCTCATGGCAGTCATACTCTGATTTCCTTCTCAAATTATATCATGAGAGCAATCTCTGGGGAATAGTGTCAGGACTTGTTTTTAATGTCCTGACCTGATAAGATATTGCATTTAATAATTGCATGACATGACTACAATATTTTTATGCACAGTAACAACTCAAGTCAAACGCCCCACCTAGTTTGTAATGAAAACATTGCTTTTAAAGAGTTGCACGAAACTACAGTGGAGGCACAGTAAATACAAAAATCCACAAATTAAATTGAATAGATTTTATTGTCCTTCACAGCACCTTCTCAATATTTTTGTCAAAACCAAGACACCATGAAATTGCAATTGTTTTACACAAACTTCCTAATATATATTCTTGGCCGAAACATTGAATAAAATCTAATACGACTAAAATAAGTTGTTCCCTGCTTATTTTCACTTCTCTCTCTCTCACACACACACAGAAACACGTATACAAACACACACACACACACACACACACACACACACACACACACACACACACACACACGCACGCACATGCATGCGCATGTGCCTTGCTGCCAAGGAACTATGTTGAAGTCAGGGGAGGAGCTCCTTTACACTCAGGTCATGGTTCGGTCTAATAGAAAAGTAGTGTTTTGTCATCATCTTGTGGCAATTGTAAGCAACTACAAATTGTTGTATTTGTTTCTTCAAATGAGAATTGAACAACAAAATGTACGTACCTTTGAGGTGCAGGTATTATTTTTGTCCACTTGGTGTCGCAGTCGTCACGTTACACACTATTTCTCTGACTTAAGTGTGTGTGGTGAGTGATGTGGGTGTCAGCGAATTTGAGTGTAGAGTTGGCTCTTTCGAACTGAGAATAGCGATTGGCTGTTAAGAAGTTCCCTGTCAGCCAGTCTGCATCTTTAGTGAGTGCCTGGATGTTAATTGTGGCCATAGCAGCTCATGTAAAAATTTTGTGTTTATTTTGTTCCCTTGTGTTGGCGATCATAGACGTGCTGTTGTAATCTGTTAGTTCTGTTATACAGCAAAATTTTGGACAGTTTACGGATTCTTTTCTCCTGGTTCTTCAACATGACGGCACCGTATTTCTACACGGAGTGATGTGTGAGTCTGCATTACTACGTTAGTATGCGTGTAATGATGATGACTGCAAAGCTTTGAGGCAGATAGTTTGATTTGACGTTACTTTTACAAATACAATTTTCACCATTAGATACCTCAGCATGTGTTCACCCTGCTGAATAACAACATAGGGTGGTTACAATTAGCACATGCAAACTTTTACACAGTTTTTTTTAAAAGCTCCCCATGTGTGGGGCGGCAGGGTCAGTGGGCTTCGGCAAGAATCTGGGCCACAGCTATCTGATCCCTTTTTACTTGGTATGTAGTTAATGAGCTTTTTGAACCCTCATTAGACACAACTCCCCCTCACACCAACCAACATACATTCACCAGAAGCTTTTCACCCCCGCTCTGACACGTGTGCCAGCCCACCATTGTCTGACAGTGTGGAGACATGCAGCTGCCTGCAGTCTCGTCTCTTGGAAGCAGGAGCCAGGCATCAGTTCAGCAGTACGAACTCAAGGGACACACACACACACACACACACACACACACACACCCACACACCCACACTGCAAAGGGCAAAGTTTGTCATATTATGTGCATGCGTGTGTTTTGTGAATGGTGGCGGAAATGAAACAGCCATGATGAGGGCCAGGAAGGTCGAACAACGCCGCTTAAATCTGCAAAGTGTCGGAATGCAACGAGCAGGGTGCATCTTTAACACAAATGTGACGTTTAGTAAGTGCTGTATGTTAAGTTCTTTGTCTATTATCATGGGAGAGGTGGGTGGTCTCCAGGGAAAAAAAAAGGGAGCTCACGTCGTGCATTTTGTGGAAGTCACCTGAACTCGAAAGTTAATCATCTTTTCATGGACAGTTTGTGCTGCTGCCTGCTTACTTGCAATCAGTCAAGCAAGACAAATTGGCCCCTACTGTGTGTTTGAGCATATTTCTCATGTGATTTAGCTGTGAACCGTTTTCTTCTCTCTGGCTGGTGCCATGATGTTCTTCTTGTGGCAAGAGGGGTGGGCCAAAAGGCAACTATCGGGCAACTTTTCCTCTGCCTTTAAGTGTTGTTGGTTCACCCAGACTGTAGCTTGAAAGCAGTGACGTAAATTAATCTCGACTGGAGGATGAAGCGTAAGCTCCTAAAAACAGTAGTGTGAGGTACAAATACGGATAACAAAGTATGAATATGGTGTATTTAATTAGATTAGTCCAGTATCTTGTATTCTTGGAGTATTCATTTGTCTGACAACTCTATACTTGTACTCCCTACATATATTTGTACTTTGTCGGAATAAGCTTGTTACTTTATTCAACCTCGGGGAATGACTACACCAGATAAAAAAGACAAATAGGATGAGGTAAAATCGACATGGAGGAAATTGGGCCAGTTAGCATTAACAATGACAGCAACAGACTCAGGGAAGTACGATTTTCCTCATCCATGGCCTTATTTTAACATAGCAGTCTAATCTGGAAAATGATTCAGGTATAGTATTTTTCAGTTGTTATTGTGAGCTAAATTAGCATATTTTGTCAGCCACTTCACAAACTTATACAATGGAATGGCAACACGTTATGATAGTGTGTCCAGTATACTGTATTTTTTTACTTTTCACTACAAGCACTATGCAAATTAAGCGTTTTTCTCCATTGCGATAAATTATTAAAAATATTTTGAATGAAAAATTATGGTATTTAGAAGGAAGACCTGAGAAGGATTAATGCATTTCATATCATTTCCATTGGGAAAGTTCATTGCACAGAATAAATTAAACTTGGTACCACTGTAATATGTGCCCAGAGGTTGATGGGGTTTTTTTCTCTGAGTAAATACTTTTATTCTCACGTACTGGAGTTGAATCAGTACTTCTACATTTACCAGTGCCCCCCCCCCCCCAACAAGTATCTGTACTGGTACTTAAGTACAGCGTGAGTACTTTTACTAGCTCTGTTTCAAATCAACTTCCCCTTTTTTCTAACTAACGAAGTGCAAAGTAGTCGGGGATGTACCAGGCATCGACGCATTGGATATGACAGCCATGCTTCGAAAAAGATCAAAAATAAGCGTTCGAATCTCTCCAAACAAACAAACCCTTGCTAAGTTGCTGCAGGCCTCTGCAAAGTAGCGGCGAAGAAAACAACCCGCCGGTGCCCGCTTCACGGGGCTCCCTACGGCCTCTCTCCGTGTTGTGGGCACCCATCGAGGGAGGGAGTGCAGCCTCACTGACCTGAATAAACTGGATCGTCAGGGCCGACTTGCCCACCCCGCCGCCTCCGACCACGACCAGCCGGTACTTCTCCTGCACCGAGCCGTCCTTCCAGCCTGCCATCGAGGACACTTGGTCGCCACCGCCTTCGCCACACCAAGCCCCACTTTTTTCCTCTTCAACCAGAGAGGCCTTACGCAGTCTGGAGAGAGAGAGAGGCAGTCCCCACAGGAAGATGCCGAAACCGGCTCGTCGGTGTCGAGAAGGAGCACGGAGGAGTCCGGAAGGTCGCTACGGGCGCCGGTCCATACGTGTGACCGCGTTTGAAACTGGAGCACAGTGCCTGACTGCCTGCCTCAGCCTGCGACGCTCAACAAGATGTGGAGACCGGAGAAGTGATCGTCAGCGGATGCAGTACCCGCGTTTGTCGACAGGGGGCTCCCCACCTGCATATAATTGCCCCAACGCACACGCCCACGCGCAAGCTCGTGCACTCCCGCAGACTTGTACTCACCTGAGACTCATGTCACGCACTCACATAAGTTATCGATAAATTGCTGCCTGCACACTTGATTCTTTGGGGGGCGGGGGGATGACTCTGGTAAAAGTGCTGATTTAACCCATTTTCTTAAGCAAACGTAAAAACGTACATATTTTGAAATCTATTTAAATACAAACACAACAGAAATTGCAGTGAGCAGAGGCGGCAAGAGCAATCACACCACACTCAAGTACAAGATTATCATGTAAAAAGGCCCTGGTAAAAGTAGCAGCACTATTTCAACTCCTTAAGTAAAAGTTAAAAAGCACAGCCTTTACAAATTACTTTACAAAATCACTTACACACTGTACCAAACAGAAGTACTGATTCTTGTGTTTAAAAAAATACGGGTACAAGTAAAAGTACGGATCCAACTCATTTAAGCATAAACAAAAGGTATAGACTGAAATGTCCAAATAATTGAAAAATACACTAAACTTCAAACATGACATGAGTTAGCTCACTCTCGTTTTCAATCGCTTCATTATAGAACGTATTGTCGGATTCCTCACCGCTGCCCCATAACTGTTTATCATTTATACAAATTATTTCGGGAGCATCACTGAAGTTTACAGGCAGGACATCTGTCATCTCAGGCATGACAACAATGCCAATTTGACAAATGCGACAAACTTCAGGACGCCTGCATCGTGTCCACTGAGGACGTTGACGCCATCTGGTGTCGCTAGACTCCGAAACCGCCGCGTGAAGCCTGGAGGTGAACGCAGATCATTTCAGTCCAAGCTAGTTATTTTGCGGTAACAGAAATGACAGACTTTCTTGCAGGTTTGTGACTAGGATATGAGGTCTGTATTTCATGTTGTCACTGTGGATTTAGGGGCCCTGACAGGAGAATTTCCACATCAGCCTCATACTGTGCAACACATGAGGCATGTGAGGAATTCCAATTACAGCCTGGAGTTAGTTCCACAGCTATTTGGCTTCATGTGAGAGTCCCTTCACTTGAGACTGAGCACGCCTCTTTCAAATCATCATATCTTGGTTGAATAATGTAATATAATAATGTACCGTTTTGTGTTAATGCATGACTTAATTCACAGTTTATCGTGAATGCCTAAAATAATCAAGCTACTATGATTGTCGTACAAAGAATGACTGGAACTTCAGCCGCATTCCCCCCACCGTCAAAGTAGACTTTTTTTTTTCAAATGTTGCATCCTGAAATTTAGTTGGTTTGGTTGGAAGTCACATGGATTTGATTTGTGACTATGGTATGCCGTAAATAGATAAATGGCCTGTTATTCCAAGTTTTAAAATGATACCAAATGCATGATGAGTACGGTCTTCCAAGAGAAATCCCTCAAATTTCGTCTAGTACACAAGGTTCCCCACTTAATTATCCATGTGATTAATAAATACCACACCCCAAGTAGACACTTTGTGGGGAAAAAAACCAGGATGTGCTCCTCGACTAGATGATTGCAATAACTGTTGTGATGCATCACAGCTTCACATACATTCTGAAGGAAAAGTGGCTAAACGTTATGAAATTTGACAATCATCCTTCAGCTTGTAACAGAGGCAGCAGAAATATACTGTATAAAATATATGTACTATATTCTGCTTTCCTGTATTTTATCTACTTTTTCAATATTCTGAGAAACAGAATGATTACACACGATCAAATTTAAACATTACAAAAACAGTTGGACAATTAAGTCATTATTAAATAAAAAGTCCTCCGCTAATAAGATGCCTGCTTCTCTGTAGTCAATTCAAAATCCATTATGCGAGGAAAATAAAGTACTGAATGCAGTATCATCTAACTTATTTTCTTTGTGGTCGGTCTTTCAAACAAGTAATTTGGTGCATGATATTTGAAAAATACAAACTGTGTATTTAATCCTGAGACAATCATTAAGCATGTCAATGAATGAACAAGTGAATACATCTTAAATGGATCATTTAATGGCCATTTATTCAAAATGAACCAGGAATGAGCAGTTATCAGATAAGTGATTTAATTAAAAAAAAACAGCACAGAAGCCAACTGACCATCCAGAATTGTAAATGTGCAGAGATGCAAGGGAGCAGAAAGGATGATACATAGAAGAGTGGCTGACTTTTATCAAGTCAGAAGGGTCAAGCTGCACTCAGAGAGTCGCCTTCTTTTGGGAGAGGTTGATCTTGTCGCCCAAGCTCAAGGCCATCCCCTGTAGAACAGATGATGATTTATTGCAAGACAATATTCAGTTGGTAACCTCCGAACTTGCATTTAGAATGGCACCTAGTCTTAAAAGTTTCAAAGCCTTGACTTATAAGTTTCAAACTTCTTCCGTGACCTCAAAACATGCCTATCTTAAATTATTTTTCCCCACTGTAATGAATTGAAATGCCATCAAATTGTTAAGCCGCCCCCCCCCCCCAATAAAAACACAAACAAAAATTTCTGCAACGTTTTTGGAATAAAATAAATAGTCTATAGTGCTGCACTTTATAAAAATCTACAATAATTAAGGGCGTAACAAAAAATGTTTTGAACTCGAAAATCATTTTTTGATTTAAAAAGATGCGATTGCATTGAATCGAACTAAATCAAATAGTTCTACTTTTGAATATATTGAGATACTTATTGAATTGTCTTTTCTTGGAGAGATATTTCTTGGAAGGAAATGGTACATTTTTAGTACTGACGAGTTCATTCAAATGTACGGTATGTGAACCAAAAGTCATTGCATCATCCCGTCTCGAACTGAGCCGTACTGTGTTGAATCAAATTGCTCGTCTTACCCCTCATAAAAATAAATAATTAAATAGAAGATGAAAAATTGAACAGTTTGTGCATCATGATAATTCAATGGGTATTGCATGGCTTATTCTGTAGTGCATAACTTCTGTGATGTGTTTTATTTATGGATTTTTACCAACAGGGCATCAATAGATTTACCCATTCTTGTCACATCTAAACAATGAAATTACCAAACATGTCACATCGGACAGCAATGAAATTGTCAGAGTCCGCTCCCATACTGACTACTAATCAGCTATTTGCTGGTGGAACATGATTTACAGCTGTGGGAGGAGACAGGAGGGAGGGAGAGATGGAAGGGTTGGGGATGGAGGGGGAGACACGCATATATTTATGTCAAGAAATAGGCGACTCTGTTGGTGCCGAACTGTGAATATGTCAGGGTCTACTGTATACAGATACGGTCTCAACTACACAGTAAGCTGTAGTCATAGAGGATAAAGAATAAGATTTTTTACATTATCTGTCTGTGTGCTGCTGCAACATTTGTGGTCAAATATCAATTGCTCAAAGGGTTATAACCCCATGACGTCTATTCTGGTTTTGTTAGCCATCTATGATGTATCGTATTGTGTGTTTGTAGTAAACCGGCAGGATGCAATTATTTTAGGCCTCTTTAGCACAATAGATAGTTGATTTGAGCAAGGCCCTTGTGTCGCTGTGACTTTTTTTTCCTGGCTCTGCACCTTCCAGTATGTATGAAAGCCATGTCATATATACTGTATGTAGTTGGAACAAGTTAAGACTGTGGAGTCACACATCGCCACAGGGGCTAGGCAGAGCTGCTCTCCCGCGTAGGTGTGGCTCAGGGAGTATAAAGAATAGAAACCATCATGGACAGATTAGACGTTCTTCCGCATTTGCAGAATAAAGCTCCATGGCTATATCTTGATCTTCCTGGCATTCATGAAACAGTTCAACTGAAAAGTTGCCCTATTTAGGTAGTTCCTGTTCATATGATTTTGCAAGCATTAGAGATAAAAGGAGCGGGGGGAGGGTTCCCACAGAACTTTTCATTTTCATAATGCAAAGCTATGAGGCTGTTTGATGTACACGTGCAATTCACTGTTTCTTGTTTAGTGATATTAAACCACTTTATTCTTCTGCATTAATTGTGAAACTGATTGTTCAATTTCCAAGACAATTAATGGTGGAGATACTCATCCTGAAGCAGCAGTGACCCACCTGACTTTTGGCTCTAATGCGTATGTGTCCGTTGACAGGTGCATCAGGCCCCAGGTGGATGGGCTTCTCAATGCTAACATTAGCCAGGGCATCTTCGCCAAAGATAGAACGGGCGTAAAGGTTGGCGGCCATGAAACCACAGAAGCCGGATAATGCCTGGTTGATCAGATACAAAGATACAAATATTTTACAATAGTATTTGTATGTTTCTGCCATATAAGATTGATTATTTTGAAGTGACACAAGAGGACAAAACACAGTCTAATCATTGAACTGTTCTCTTCATGTAGTGGAAGAATTACAAATAATTGATTTGCTTTCACTTTGACAAGAACAAACCTTCTCTGGAGTCAGGCATTTCATGTTTGTGGACTTGAGGATATGTTGGAGGTATTCGTTCAAATCAGTGATGTTTGTGTTCACCGTAACCTACCAGGAGTAAAAACAATTTTTAATTGGCTTATACACAAAACTTAATAAAGCTCTCCTAATGCCAAATAGTACGACTTCAGACAGACAGACCGTACCACTGGCGAGGCTGCCATTTACACCAGCGCTGCAGAAAAAGCTCACCTTGTTTTCCCACTCAAACTCAGCCCACATCTGTCTGAATTCAGCATCTGTACACGACGCCGGCTGGATGTAGTCCATGATGTCAATGTGGATGTCACTGAGGACAACACAGTTCCTGTCGCTTGCAGCTCCAGACACATCATACACTGGAGACAAAAGAATAACGATTACATATTGTACCGGAATGTCAAAGGCCAGGGATTTGAAAACGTGTTCTCAATTCATTTGTATATCATTTTGTATATTAAATTGTATATATAGTTAAGTATTGTATAATAACTGTAAAAAAATAAAGTTCACTACTTCACGGATTTCACTTATCACTGGTTCTTTTTGGAACGTAACCCTCGCGA